ACAGGGATCGGGTGCTCGTCTACGGAGTCCGCTATGTCACACCGCTATGTTTCTACAATAGCACAGAACAAGACTGGCCCTAATTAGAGCCAGTTTGGGGTCTGTCAATTCTGTGTTACTGTAGAAACTACCAGCAAGCTACTGCATAATGTAGTTAAACTACGGGTTTAATTACATGTAGTTCACTAGTCCCCAATCCTGAAAGTCCTTGGAGACTTTCCAGACCTGTTTCATACGTCCTAGAGAGAAACCCTGAGGGTCTGAACACTCCCTCTGAAGGTGCTATATGTTTGGATCTTTCTTGTGACAAACTCAATGTGAATGTTTAGAATTTCTTGTTTTTCAGGTCTTTAAGTCGTTCTGCTCTGCATTGTGAAATATACAAAGCATCTGCACAGAGGTTCTGGCTTAGAGCCCCTCAGCATGTGCCAGAGGAGAATGTAAAGTAAAGTAAAATCAAATAATTATAGGCTTTCTTAAAAAAACTTTTTAGTGTGAGAAAATATGTGTGTTGCTACTTGGTGCACAAACAGGGAATGCAACTGAAAATGAGAGGGCTGAGAGACTAAAGCATGTTTCTAAATGTGAGGAAAGGGGTGTTACAACCTATTCTCCCCTAATACCGATATCATACTGTATATGCAACACAGGAAAGAAATATTATGATGATATAGCGATAGAGCAGTGGTTCCCAACTGGTGGGTCGCAGTCCAAAAGTGGGTCACAGGTCCATTCTGAATGGACCGCAAGTGACTCACAAACATGTCAAGCTTGTAAAAAACACACTTTATTTTGAGGTACAGTAAATTTCCAGCCCAAGTGCCATTTCCTGCTGTTGAGTGAGTGACTGACAGACAGCTAATTGACAGAGACAGCAAATTAGCTTGACGACATGGCCAAACACAAGTATGACGCTGAATATATTAACCTGTGTGGACCTTGAGTAATGACTAAGGGCAAATCTGGACCCTGTGACTGGACCAGCTGGGAACCACTGCAAAAGAGATTAAAAATATATCATAAAATGCTGCTATAGAATACAACAAACTCACCAAAAGTCATGGCAGAATATTGTAGCGGCAAAAACATACAATTAGATATTCGACAACCATCAAGGCAATGTGGCTATTAGAAATCCCATGACCTGGATGACTGAGAGTACCTTATGTACCTATGTGAGTAACAGTGTAAGTCCTTACAGCAGCCTTACAGTGATCCCAGTAGAGATTAAAATACCATAAAGTATTAGACAGTTACTGTATTTACCACCTAGTACCACAGCAATGTGAATTCCTGTTAGTAATAGTCTGAATTTGTTAATGACATTATAGGAGATAAAAACAATTTAAAGAAGACGACTCTGGGCTGAATACTGAGTATAGAGGTACACTTATATACCCTATAGAGTATTTTCTTTAGGGTCTGTTGGGCAGGATCTACACTTCACTGTGAGGGCTTTATCGCCCTGACTGGCCTCTTTACAGCTCCTCCTGAATGAGCTGATAGTGTAATAGATTCTCTCCTGTGACATGTGGACGGTGTGAGAGAGAATGGGCAGCAGGTTCATGGTGGCACAGTTTTAGTGGGCTGAGGGAGAGACTGAAAGGGGGCTGGCAGATGGGTGACACAAAGTGGGTGAAAGAACAGCTGGCACCTTCGCTTCCCAGCAGCAAAACAGGACCGAGAGAATGGGACCATTTTACGTAGAAAGCACCGTGTCTCTGAAGCAACATATCTTCAGCTTGACGGTGACAACGGTCACACACACCTCCTGTTTTGAATAAAAAGACAATGCAGTTGTCTGTCGGCGGGGACGCAAGGTGAGGCAGAGGCTGTCTAAATCATGTTGTTTGTCTCAAGTGCTGACAGAGACAGCTGGTAGATGGTGTGTGCGAGTGCGTGTGTGTGTTCACAGTATTAACTTGCATGTGACCAGCCAACACCCACCGACAGATAACCTTTTCTCCAGCCGACACTTTCTTTTATTCTTAAACAAGTCTCTGTCTTTAAAGCAAAGTTGCTGTGCCTCTTTTGAGGATTCTGAAACCTTGCAGGCATCTCACGGACAAAACATAAAAGATGTTCATGTAATGACCCACCCAAATAACAATAACAAGTGCAGCTGAAAGGAACTGGATCCAATTAAATACATCAGGCTCATGTACTGTGTGCACTGATCCAAGCCTTCTCTCCTGACACCAATGCGTCAACTCTGCAGATACCAGATACTGATCTAGTGACAGTGCTCTTTCCCAAATTTAAAATCTGCATACCTCACTGTGTAAAAGTCATTTGAATGATTTTTATGTTTTGAAACATAAGGTAAGAGATTGCTTCTCTAAAAACTGTGATAATAGAGGGTTTGTATTTAATGTGGATTGGTTACATCATGGCAGACGAAGCTGTCAGTATCACTGCAGTACAGCGTGTCAGATCGACACACCCTTGTTTATTAGTTAACAATCAGTCCATTTCTATGATGGTGGATCCTCCCTAACTATTAAGATGGACATAAAATGCACAATTCAGTTGTCTGGTAATGTTCTTCTAAGATAATCTACATGTATTCTTGAGTTTCTTAACCCTTTCATGCATGAATTATTACTGCCTCAGTCATGAGTGTTTTTATCCCTCTTAAGGCATGACAAAAATTAGGAAATGCATTTTTCAAGGAGTTTTTCCACATCCACTCAGTGGGACAGCATGCGTTTAAGTCTTCAACTTACCGCACACCTTCCCTGTTGAACGATATAATTCTTTCAATGAACATTTTCTGCAAAAATAACAAAAAACTGAACATTACATTCTCATAAATCAATTGATTTACAGCCAAAAAGTCACTGCAGATGAGGTGTTTTCAAGAACAACAAAGTTGCAGCAACAGCTTTTATTGCGGTTGAAATATAACCAGTGATGCATGATGCCTAGGTTAGTGGACAGATGATTAATTGTAATTTCCTCACAACATAAAGTCAGCACTTGGAAAATTTATCAGCCGTATTACTCCTTGTTACTTGATGTTACCAGATTTTATTAACCTGCCAGGGGCTCCTATTATAAAAGGATTGGCAAGATATTATTGAGCTGTACGACGTTTCTAGCTTTCCGTCAGCCATCTTGGTTTCAATCAATCTCAAGTTCATTGCCCCCTAAGTGTGGTTCGTTTGGGCAGTTGTGAACACAGCAATCACACTCAGGTGCACACCAAAACAACTGGACCGAGACCTTCTTGAAGAGGTGGTCTTGGTCTGATTACAAACAAACTCTGGTGCAGTTTGTTTGTGGTGAGAACGTGTTCCGACCTCGATCCGAACCAAAAAATCAACCTGCGTAGTTGTCCCTCCATTGTGACATTATAAAGTGTCGCATTTATCTTGCAAGTGTACTCTTCTTCTACGTTTTGTTTACTTCCTGGATTTTTCCCACATGGTAATTCCGACCAATCAAGAGCAGCTTTGTCACACAAGGCATTTTACCTGGTCCGCTTGTAAATGCTGCCGTGAGAACACGAACCAAATCAACTCTGGGTCTGAAACACCCTTGCATGCAACTACAGCATCAAAACCTATGCATATACAAGCAAATGGCTTTTAAATAGCTGTCCACTGTAGTGACCACGATGCGTGAAAGGGTTGCATGGTACAGTAGGTTATGGTAATATAAGAGCTCTCAGTCCATTCGGTAGAATTTAATGAGTTGCTGTGAAGCATTTAAAGTTTCACTGTAATGGTCTTAGAAGTATGTTGAGGACATTTATAGGTGTGTTTCCCTAAGCCACAAACAGCATGCAGGTGAAGTTAGGACCTTATAAAGAGGTAGCGACCAGGTACAGTAGTAGCATGCAGCTAAGAGGAAGCTATGAAAATAATGAACACAGCACCAAAATAAACGCAAATATAGAAAACACCAAGCAGACAGTACTTGTTGAAAATGAGAGTGAATGTGAGGTTGGCTTTCACTTTTGCTGGCGAGCACTAAAGGAGAGGAAGGGGATGTTTTCTGTTGGACAGGTAGGTGCCTTTTCCATCACAGCAAATTTTAAGTTTAAAGCAGTGTACGTACAAACAGAGTAGGGAGAGGCCAAGTCTGAATGCTGTGTTTACAAGCAGGAGCCAACAATTCCTGCACAGTATACCTTTAAAGGGTTACTCCAGCAATTTAATACTGTGCTTCCATAAAGGTGTGGTATTCAGTTAATATAGGGAAAAAAGAATGGTCAGAATCTTGACAGCAGAGGCAGAAATATCCTGGGTCGAATTGTTTTCACATGGTGAGGGTATTCCCCGAGACAAAATAGTGTGCATAATCAGTCCAGCGCTCCTTTTAATCCTGGCAAGAGTAAAAAGCTGCAGGGGAATAGTTAGATTCACTTAAAAACAGCTCAACAGAAATATTTTGACACTGGCTCTTGAAAGCTTGTGATCGGTCCAGCACCATCATACGGCATACTATCACATGAGCGCATTTCTCCGACAGAGGCATGTGGCTGAGTCACAGGCCGACACTCCCAAACAAACCTGTCTTACTGGCTGATGAGCTGTTAAACGCACGCTGAGAGCAGCATGCAGAGAACATCTGGACACCCAGAAGCAGACTTCACTGTGTCGAAACTTGGCGATGATGCTCCTCTCCATATCGCACTGAGATAAAACACATTTCAATAGACACCCTTGTCTATTAGACATCGAGACGAGAACACAAATGCACCGCAGTGGCATGTTGTCAATGGAAACTTGGCTCTCAGATTCTGGATGCAAATAAGCGTAGTTTCATTTTCCTGCTATGCAAAAAGGCTGTGGCTGGCAGCAGACTGAGTGGTGTGTGTGTGTGTGAGGCCTTGGCTAAAGCAGTCCGGAATCACTGGAAAGGCCATGTGGAAGAACTCAATTGTCCCAGTTAAGCATTCATGAATACTAAACCAAACCTTGAATGGAACATTCCTATCTGAGCTCTCCTGCTCGTAAATTTCCTCCTCGATTCATAATGACAACACGTCCAAATAGAGTCAGCCATATTTAAATTTAATGAAAATACAAAAAAATATATGTTAATAGTGGTCTTTCTTCATAAGCAGATCTTTAGCATTCATTTCTAACAGTTAAAATAAAACTGATATCATTTTCATTTTTAGCATCATCACAGCGATGTCAGCAGCTTCACTCCACATGGCAGCAGCTATTCAAATATGCATCTTTACATTTACATAAATACAGACATTAAAGCACTTAATGACAGAGATTGTTTAATTCAGCTCAGTTACAAATGTGTAAATGTTAATCACTTTGCTATATGCAAAAACCAAAATGGCTTGTACAGTATGTGTACACATACCTGGCCAATAAGGTTGATTGTGATTATATGAATTCTTGATTTGATTAAAATGCTCCTTTTCGCTGGACATTCAGACTTCGTGTACTCCACAAACCAGATTGGCAGGCACTGAAATATCTGCAAAGGTAGAAGAGAGGTCACAGAAATATAAATAAGGTCACAAGCATGTTATATCAATGTTCTATGTGTGAGTCTGGGAAGAATTAGACTTATGTTTACTAGGTGGGACTGTAGAAAAAAAATACTTTCAGTACCAATTTTGTGAGGCTTGGGGAGATTCAGGTTGTTCATGATGTTCACAAACTCCTCCAGGTTCTTGGTCAAGCGTGGGTTAAACCTGCGCTCCTCACCGACTGTAGACACCATCTGACCTGACACGCAAAGACAGATTCCGACAGATATGATGTCATCTGTGGTTGATGTGGTGTTAATGTTTACCAAATGTTGAACCTCACTGATCAATCAAATGAAAATATAACATTCTGTAATGGCAAAGACATCACAGCCTGTAAATACTTAAGCAGATATACACGGATCTATCAGCCCACTCACTTCTATCAGATATCATCTTAAAATCAGTATGCATCAAATATAATTTTTGACTAATATTTGACAGATTGAGGAAGGGCATTTTTCTTATCTTATCATTTTAGTATCAAATTCTATTTCTAGTTAAAATTACAAATGACCTTCTGATTGCTTCAGACAAAGGACTCGTCTCTGTTCTTGTTTTATTAGATCTTAGTGCGGCGTTTGACACAGTTGACCATCAAATTCTACTGCAGAGACTGGATCACTTAATTGGCCTAAAAGGTTCAGCACTAAGCTGGTTTAAATCTTATTTATCTGATCGTTTTCAATTTGTTGACGTTCGTAATGAATCATCCTTACGTACCAAAGTTTGTTTTGGAGTTCCGCAAGGTTCTGTGCTCGGACCAATCCTATTTACTCTATATATGCTTCCTTTAGGTAACATCATTAGAAATCACTCTATAAATTTCCATTGTTATGCGGATGATACACAGTTGTATTTATCGATGAAGCCAGAAGAAAGTAATCAATTAACTAAACTCCATAACTGCCTTAAAGACATAAAAAATTGGATGAGCACCAATTTCCTGATGTTAAATTCAGACAAAACTGAAGTTATTGTTCTTGGCCCCAAACAACTCAGAGACTCTTTATCTGATGACATAGTTTCTCTAGATGGCATTGCTCTGGCCTCTAGCACTACCGTAAGAAACCTCGGAGTAATATTTGATCAAGATTTGTCTTTTAATTCTCATTTAAAGCAAACCTCACGGACTGCATTTTTTCATCTGCGTAATATTGCGAAAATTAGGCCTATCCTGACCCGAAAAGATGCAGAAAAATTGGTCCACGCTTTTGTTACCTCAAGGCTGGATTACTGTAACTCTCTATTATCAGGTAGCTCTAGTAAGTCCTTAAAAACTCTCCAGCTAATTCAGAATGCAGCAGCACGTGTACTAACAGGAACTAAGAAACGAGATCATATTTCTCCTGTTTTAGCTTCTCTGCACTGGCTCCCTGTAAAATCCAGAATTGAATTTAAAATCCTACTGTTAACTTATAAAGCTCTAAATGGTCAAGCTCCGTCATATCTTAGAGAGCTCATAGTGCCATATTATCCCACCAGAACACTGCGCTCTGAGAACGCAGGGTTACTCGTGGTCCCTAAAGTCTCCAAAAGTAGATCAGGAGCCAGAGCCTTCAGCTATCAGGCTCCTCTCCTGTGGAATCATCTTCCTGTTACGGTCCGGGAGGCAGACACCGTCTCCACATTTAAGACTAGACTTAAGACTTTCCTCTTTGATAAAGCTTATAGTTAGGGCTGGCTCAGGCTTGCCCTGTACCAGCCCCTAGTTAGGCTGACTTAGGCCTAGTCTGCCGGAGGACCCCCTATAATACACCGGGCTCCCTCTCTCTCCCTCTCTCTCTCTCTCTCTCTCTCTCTCTCTCTCTCTCTCACTCTCATCCTATTACTGCATCTTGCTAACTCGGCCATTCTGGATGTCACTAACTCGGCTTCTTCTCCGGAGCCTTTGTGCTCCACTGTCTCTCAGATTAACTCATATCACAGCGGTGCCTGGACAGCGTGACGTGTGTGGTTGTGCTGCTGCCGTGGTCCTGCCAGATGCCTCCTGCTGCTGCTGCCATCATTAGTCATTAGTCATACTTCTACTGTTATTATACACATATGACTATTGTCACACAAGTATACTGTCAGATATTAATACATACTTTCAACATATTGTACCACAGTAGCCAGAACTATAACTATAATATTATTACTTTCATTAATGTTGTTGTAAGCTACTGTCATTACCTGCATCTCTCTCTCTCTCTCTCTCTCTCTCTGTCTCATTGTGTCATACGGATTACTGTTAATTTATTATGCTGATCTGTTCTGTACAACATCTATTGCACGTCTGTCCGTCCTGGAAGAGGGATCCCTCCTCAGTTGCTCTTCCTGAGGTTTCTACCGGTTTTTTTTCCCCCGTTAAAGGGGTTTTTTTTTTGGGGAGTTTTTCCTTATCCGCTGTGAGGGTCTTAAGGACAGAGGGATGTCGTATGCTGTAAAGCCCTGTGAGGCAAATTGTGATTTGTGATATTGGGCTTTATAAATAAAATTGATTGATTGATTGACTGAAATTAGCAACAAGTACATTTGACCACAATTTTTGAGGTACTTCTCACTTACTTAAATATTTTGCATTTAATGCTATTTTAAGTGATATATTACATTAAGCAGAAACAAAGTAATATAACGCATTACTAATAGGGTTTCGAGGAATGTTACATTTACTATTTCACGTAACGTGTTACCACCCAAAATTAAGTGTTTAGAAATTTATGTTTTCAATCATCAATGATGTGCCACTTCCACCAGTGTGCCACCACAAAAAATATCCTCTGAAGGTTTGCGTGTCTCGTTATGAAATTTTAGGCTGCATTCTAGTGGGGTGCCAGTGATCAGCACATCTGGGTGATGCAACATCTGAACATATCCCGTTCTGCTTTTGTGTCTAAAGGCTGCTAGAAGGCAGAGGGGAAGATGAGCTGGGTTTTTTTCCCTTGTCCTGGTGATCGGCACATCTGGGTGATGCTGTCAGCTGTGCGTTAGCATGTTGGATGTTTTCCCATTTACATCCCCCTTTTAAACAACTCTCTGCAGTGCTGTTGTAGCTGGTCGACACAGCGAACCCACAGTTGGGTCTTACAATTCCACTGTTTCTTCTGCGCTCGTCATAGTGACTCACTCGTACGGCAATCCACTCATTCTGTTAACCTCAGCATTTATCTATTGTATTTCATATGACAGACATGCAAATTTTAAACCCTAAACTAAAGTCTTGGCATCCTCTGCTGTTTTTATCAGTTTCTTATTGAGAGCTTCCTGTGGTTTTCATGTATCTGCTGGTTTCACAGCCTCACACTGAAAGACACAAACAGTCTCAGTAGCTTTATTAAGATCTGCTCTAAGGTCAAAGGAGTGACACAAAGGTACTTGTTCTGTTTTTCAACAAGCCCTTCATAAAGCAACAAGTATTTTAGCCTCTTCTGGACATGTTCAAACTCCTGCAGGTGAATTTTCCCTGTTGCCGTCAGGGCATTGTTACATTATAACCTGCTTGTAAGACTAATCACTATTTGAAATATTTACTTCCCTCTACGATTCGTCTTTTTAATTTTCTATAAATGTTTTTGTTATTGATTTTAAATTATTTTAGTGATGATAAAACTATTGACTTTTTTCTATTTATATATTCCTCTATTGCACTGAACTCCTCAGCATATTTTTATTTCAATAAATACTCATCTTTATGTGTCTACGTGTTACTGTATATTATAGCACGTGTGCAAGGCAAGCTTTTCAAACAATTTGCCCCTAGTGCCCCTGAATCTAAATACCTATCTCATAATTTATCAGACTTTGATCTTTTGTCTGCCTGCCTATTCCTGTGTCCAAGGTTTATTTAAAAAAGTCTTGACTATTTGACTGTACTATATCATCACACCATTGTTAATATAAGAGGGTGGTTTTGCTTAAAAAAAAAGTAGTAACCACTGCAGATGAATGCATGAATGGGCCTTACATGTGCTCTGGAGGAGAGTCCTCATTCAGCTGTACAATGTCTCCCACCACTGGCTTTATTATGAACTGCAATAAAGTGGAGCTGTGTGTGCTTTGTTTACTGTGAAACAACATGACCCTCTTCCATTTTATAATGCCCTAATATATTAACATAGGTTAGGCCACCTGGAATAACCTTAAGTTGTTAAAATTATCCTCACCTTTACCAGCTGCAACATTAATGCTATGTACATAGTAATGCAATAATATATAGTTCTGCAATGGGCCATTCTGCATAATGGCTACTTTTACTTCTGATACTTTTAAGTAAAGTTTGAGGCTCATTGTTTTGTGCTTTTACGTTTGTAAGATTTTGAACACAGGACTTTAATTTGTAAAAAAGTGTTTTTACACTGTAGTATTGCTTTTTTGTTACCCAAAAGAAAGATCAGAATACTTCTTCCTACACAAAAGGTGAGGTATTAATCATGAGAGGCATGTTGGAGAAGCTTAACCTGTTCGCGCTTGCATTTGTACGAACACACTCTAGTAACAACATGTGTATCACATCAGTATTGGCTGCTATGGGTGGAAATATACTGGCGACAGCTTTTTAACACTCTGCTGGTGTTTCACATCTCTTTCTTTTGTGTAACCAGTTTTTAAATTTTACACCAGTGACTCCATGAGATAAGATATTCAGATTTGTGGGTTCTCAGCCAACCTTTGTAGTCATGTGCTGGGTAGACAAGGCACTGGTCTGGCAGAGTAAAGATCTTCGCATGGACTGACTTATAGAGCTTCTTGGCGCAGCCTGAATGAGAGAGACAACATGTGGCAAAGATCAGACAATCCCAAAGACATAAAAGATGCAATACTGCCCTCTTGTGTTCCTCTAGCTAAATTACAAAAATAAATGCTTTCTTTTCCAGCCAGTGTGTCAGGAGAAATGAATGAAGTATTTTATCAGGACAAAGTAAAAGTAGGTCTACCCTGCTGGAAGTCTGTCCTGCCGCAGCCTCTGATGAGTAGAGCGTCCCCAGTGAAAACCATGCTCTGATCCTCTGTGATCAGCACCACACACCCATCAGTGTGTCCCGGTGTCTCTCTCACTGTCAGATACTACAAGGGAGGCATGAAAAGAATATTTTATCAAGCAGCCAGAAAAAGTCCGAGTTCTTTACAGAGCAACAGATGATGCAGATCCAAAATACAATGTCCAGATACGGATATGTCCATATACATTACCAAGCTAAAGAAGAGCACAATCAAGATACAAGACACTGAAAACACTTTCAAAACTATACTGCAATCAGAAGTCAGTTTATTTTTTTCTAAAAATGAGGGTTGTATGGATCAATTTTATGTGATGAAACAAGTCACATGTTCTTACATGTTTTCCATAGGTGATCTTGTCTCCCTCTTTCAGGTGTATGTCTGCAGCAGCACCACTGAATTTGGAGATTGCACTCTTCAGTCCAGCCAGTCTTTTCTTCATCAGCCCAGTGCTTGTGATGTGGTCTGCATGGCAGTGGGTGTTCACTATCAGAAAAAGGAAATAGTGTTTTACCACAGGCTTTGGAAATAATTCAAGAATATCATATTCAAGAGTTGGTGGTATAGTTTTGTGATTATATATAAGCCATTATATTAAATATTAATTTAATCTTGCATGCATTTTTGATATTCTGTTACATAAAGCAATGATGGAAAATATTCTTATTAATAGTGTGATGTTTATTCCAGCCAAATTGCCCAGTCCTGGGAGTCTTTTGACACAAGAAACCTGCTTTCTACAGTGTACAATTGTGTATGAGCCTGGCCTAACTGAGTTCAAAGTCTTGGGAAGAGTGAGGTTTCATATCAGAACACAGAATACAGATGTGACTTTATAATAACCTTTATATTTACCTTGCTCTTGGGCAAAGTTTTTCCCATACTTTGCAGAGTTAGCAAAATCATCTGATAAGCTTTCCCTGAAGTTCACTGTTCCAGTACAGGTGCTAAATTATCCTTAAGTCAACCTACACGTCATAGCTGACAGGATAATGTGCAGCAGATGTGTATGTAAATAAACAAAAAAGGTTTGTATTGGACATTAAAGCGAATGGGACACTGATATTTAAACAGTGTCTACATTAATGGAATAGCACCAAATCCTTTCAGATACCTGCCACTTTTAGATCAAGCCCCAGTTCCTCTATTAGCTTCAGGTCCCTGTCAATGGTCTCCAGAACTGGATCAATGATGACTGCCTCCTTGGTCTCTGTGTCTGCCAGCAGGTAGGTGTAGGTGCTGCTCTCGCACTCAAACAGCTGAACAGATAAAAAAAAAACAGGTGAGAGTACAGGAGTGACTCAGCAATAAAGGATTCACATCCTCCCTGTCATTCTCCACTAGTGTCTGCTTGCAAATGTGTGTGAAATTGCAAAAGAGAGAAAGAAAGTATGTAGAGATGTAACAGATAAGGATGTGGAGCTACTTGTTGCCAGTGGAAAATGTGTGCCTCTGAAGTATTTGGACAGTTTCCAGTGTTAGGGATAAGTGTATATTTAGTGTTTGCAGCCAAGGGATTTTTCAATTTCAGCTCAAGGCCCCATTACTTGCTTGTCCTGGAGTTTTTAAAAGGACCACACAGTCCTCTTCATTGGACTGAGTTTGCTTAGTCGCCATAGAAATGTAGACAGTGAGATTCAGCTAGCTGCAGAAAAAGTTTATTTTTTAATTTTTTTGTCAACTGCTGCTTCCGAGGTCAATAATAAACAATAAATAATCCGTCCTCTGCTGTAAGTATACATCAGGCTGGACAGGATGCATATGTCAACTGTAACGTTAGTGCCAATATGCTACAGCCATTACATACATTCAGTACACAGTCTTCCGGGTTTACAACGTTATTGAAACAATACAGAGCAGACTGAGCGAAGTGAGGGGCGTGTTTGGCTGATATAAATCACCACCACAATCCACAGATATGAATCTGATAACTTAGTTTGGCCAAATTTAAACAAATATCAACTTTGAATGTAACTTAACAGGAAGCTAGTTAAGCTAACGGCTAGCTAACTCCGCCTAGCTTACTGTCAGCTCACACGACGTTAAGCTAATGTTAGCAGCCCAGCTATTTACAAACACTTCAGAAACATTTCCGACCTGACACAACAACTTAAAGTGAATGGAAAAAGCACATATGTATATATATGAACCTACTTGTCTGAAGAGCGGTCCTCCGGCCAGCGCCATCCTGGAGCAGTACGACTTCCTGGTAGCTCTTATCGGATCAATGTCAGCACTGACACCGGGAAAGAGGCGTCTGCTCTCGGCCGCAGCGTAACTCGAGCCCTCGGCGATTCCTCTGAAGCGAAGCGTGACAGCCAGAACCCGCTGGAGCGGTTTCACCCTGCTTATTACCGAGCACATTGTTGTTCGTCGGTAATTTCCTGAAAGCTCTACCAGATAATTGTTTAAAGGGGACTAATGTCCTGAGAGGCTGCTGGTGGGAGCCTGTCACAATGTGCAGCCGCGTTTAGCTCGGGTTTGTGCAAGATAATGTCAAATATCCTCCATGAAAGCTCACAGCTCAGAGTGGTTTCAAAGCCTCACGCTCACCTTGGATGAACTGAGACACAATAGTGGTGTTACAGTGTCAGTCGCTTTTACAGCGGCTGTTACTGCCATAGCAAATGTTTATTATTGAGCAACCAAACGTTCACTTCATCCAATGCAGTCCAGCAGGTCAACTTGCTCCGCGCGCATCTCCTTCATCAGTCATGACTCATTAACTTAACGATCATTACTGTGTGTTGTGGTGCACGAGCACCGCTCATGTACGCTCACAGACACACGCATACAGTGTGTTGACTGTGGCGGAGGCCTACGTGACTGCTGACATATACTTTTATCAGAAGTCTCATATCACCCAAAATAAAGTAGGCTACAATCCAAAATAAAAGGAGCTGTCACCTGGCATGCAAAACATACCTGAACATTTGTATAAATGATATATTTATATTTATCAAAAGCATTGTTATTGCCTACATATTGACCTTGGACAGAATATTATTATACATCTATCAGCTGTCTGGCAGTAATGGCCTTAAGTTTAATAGTTAGTCTTATAATGGAATATTTATTACTGGAATATACCATGATCATTTATTATGTTAAGCTGCTCATATACTTTTACTGTATTTAGCTATCTTTGTATCTTGTGTATCTTGTGTTTTTGGCTCCCTATATATACTCTTAAGACCTGAACAGTAGGACCCAATAAGTACAAATAAAAAACAACACTGTCAACGATAATCAAGTTCCATTGTCCTCAAACCACACATTAATAAAGTACCAATGTCCTCAAACAAGTACTTCCTAATTAACAGTGTTTTAGCTTGTTACAGTCTCTAAGATTGGTCAAATTTGTTGCCATATCAAACTATAAACATTATTAATCATACATAAACAAGTTTCAACCATAAAATGTGATCAGGTTTTGGACCTTGTCCACTTTTGTGTCAAGATCGGCTGCAGACTAATTTGGCAAGGATGGCTGCCATCTTGTTTTTACATGGATTAGTGTATCCTCCTGAGACCCAAACTTTTGTTTGGTATGCATTTTCAATTTCTACTAGCCATTTGGGACCAGTAGGACCTGACAATTATAAAAACTAAACATTGTCAACAATAATTATTACCCAGTGTCCTCAAATGAGACGATAATAAAGACCCAATGTCTTCAAACGAGTACTTCCTAATTAATTGCGTCTTAGCTTCTTACTGTTGTTAAAATAGGCCAAATTTGTTGCCATATCAAACTGTAAACATTTCAAATCATAAATAAACTATTTTCAACCATAAAATATGATCAGGTTTTGGACCTTGTCCACTTTTGTGTTGGGATCGGCTGCAGATCGACTTGGCAGAGATGGCCGCCATCTTGTTTTTAGATGGATCAGTGTATCTCCTGAGACCTGAACTTCTGTTTGGTATGCATTTTTAATTTCTCCTAGCCATCTGGGATCAGTAGGACCCAATAAGCATAAAAAAATGAAACATTCTCAACGCTAATATCCAGTGTCCTCAAATGAGACGATAGTAAAAACCCAATGTCCTCAAACAAGTACTTCCTAATTAATAGTGTCTTAGCTTATTACTGTTGCTAAAATAGGCTTTGTTGTTGTATCAGACTATAGACATTATTAATTATAAATAAACACGTTTCATTCATAAAATGTGATCAGGTTTTGGATCTTGTCAACTTTTGTGTTGTTATCAGCTGCAGACTAATTTGGCAAGGATGGCTGCCATCTTGTTTTTACATGGATTGGTGTAGCCTCCTGAGACCCGAACATTTGTTTGGTATACATTTTTACTTTTGTCCTAGTTTTTGGGATCAGTAGGACCCGATAACTATAAAAAACTGAAACATTCTCAATAATAATTAATACCTAGTGTCCCCAGACGAGATGACAATAAAGTCCCAATGTCTTCGAACGAGTACTTCCTACTTAACAGCGTCTTAGCTTGTTACTGTTGCTAAAATTGGTCAAACTTGTTGCCATATCAAACTGTAAACATTATTGATCATAAATAAACAAGTTTAAACCATAAAAAGTGATCAGGTTTTGGACCTTGTCGACTTTTGTGTTGTGATCGGCTTCAGACTGACTTGGCAGAGATGGCCGCCATCTTGTTTTTTCATGGATTAGTGTATTGTGCTCTTACTACCACTGGATGGCACAAAAAGTGTCCTTGAATGAGGACAATGGGTCTAAGTTCAGTAGATTGAAGAAAAAGGTGCAGCAAACCCAAAATGTGATAGACACAGGGCCTCAGGAGGATATTAAAGTCAGTAGCCTATATAGAATCAACAAATCAAGTGTAAAGCATAGCAAAGAAGAAAAGGTCTTTTGAAAAGCTGTTAGTGTTAAACTTATACTGGGTTTTTCTGAACAACACCCAATGTTGGGGAGCAATTTACTACTTGTAGTTCAATTACTAGTTTAACTACAATTTGCAGTTGTTGGAGGACTGTAGGACAGCATTTAGGATTGCAGATTTCTACCTGCTGAAACTTTCTTCTAGTTAGGATTCCCTCAGTGTTCATTGTTGAGGACGTTTCAAAGAGCCAAATTATCAGCAGAGGTCTCTTCCTCTCCAGAACAAACACAGCAGGTGATTAAAATCAGTGAAAACACTGGATAAAGCAGTTTCACATTAAAAATTAGTGTTTCTCCTACACTGTTCAGCATGTCAGAGACAGGCCACCAGCCCAGCACCTGCTAACATGTGCTCAAGTATTTTCTCTTATAGCTTAAGATCTAGACGTTCAGGAGGTTTTTATCAGGAGCTGAATTTTTTGCAGAGGTCTCTTCCTCTCCAAAACAAATGGACCCGGTGAATTAAATTGGTAAAAACACTGAATAAAACAGTTTCTTTTTAAAAATCATCACCTACATTGTGCCGTGTTGGTTCAGTTATACGTCCTGAAACTGTATGTGTTTCCAGTTGTAGCTGAACTGTCTTTTGAAACTAGTATTATGCTCACAAACCACAATTTTTTGAGGAATTAAGATGAAGTTTAATTATTTTTCATTGTAAAGTAAATAAAAGTTTGGTAAACTACAGTTTTAGTGTAGTTTTCCCAACATGGCTGATACCAATATTGAAATTTGACAATTTGATAACTGAAACTAATCATTGTACATAAGCATGCTATTGTTTAGTTTGTTTTGTCATAATGACATAGATGGACATTTTTAACAGAATCCCTTAAATTTGTTATTTACTGTGACAAAGACAAGAAGAACACTTTCTAAGCCGTTTACCATCATATCATAATGTTTTTGTCAGTTTTATGACAAACAAGCAAATACAAGTGATTTGCTTCTTTATTGTCAACTGTCTCAGTTATGAGTGTCAGGTTCTTGTGGAGTGTCAGTCACAGCTGTCGTGGTCTCCTCCAAGTCCCCTGGTTTGCCCTGCAGCAAAAAACAAAAGGGAAAATGCCAGCATCAACCTAAAGTATAGTTTTATATATTTTCAAGAAAGAAATGTGAGTAAATGTGCTGTGTGCCTTCTGACAATAAAAAATCCATCAAGATATAAAAAGGGAGGGATGAGCAGGGAAAATAGCACTTTTAGGTTATATGACAATCCCAAGAGTTATTATGAGGCGTTCCAATTTCATCCATATAGCCTGCTTTATGGGATGTCCTCAAAGAAAGTCAAGTTGCTCTCCCTCACAAGTTCATGGCTCATTATCAAAACAGTACATTTTGGGCGCAGCTCATTGTTTTCCACGCTGATGTAATTTGCATTTACAATTTGAAAGGAGCACATAAACAATCATATTTGGCACAGCTTTAACTCAACAATAAAATAAAACAAAGCTCGACTGACTGATCATGACACGTTCTCACACTTTATACAGTACCTCTAAATATCTTTCAACCCAGTGGATCAGTTGGGTTACTCTGCTGTAGACGCCTGGTTTATTGCGCCGTCCACAGCCCTCTCCCCAGCTCACCACCCCTGCCAGCCTCCAGTCCCCACCGGCTGTCTCACACACCAGGGGTCCACCACTGTCTCCCTTTAAAACAGGACCAAATCATTTAGCCAACATTATACACCAGGTTTTAAACAATGCTTGCACACTTAATGGTGACTGAGGTGATGCAAGTATGACCCGGGTGATCTTTGTAAAGTTAAAAGATAATGTTCATAAACCTTTATCATCCAGGTTTATAGAGATTTTATATCTTTGGGTGTGTACCTGGCAGGAGTCCACTCCTCCCTCCATGGTGCCTGCACAAATCATTCGAGGAGTTAGGTGGATTCCGTAGACGCTCGGGTGGGAGCAGACAGGTTGAGCTATGACCCTGACCTGAGCCTGCCTGAGCTCATCTGACACAAAGCCTGAGAGAACAGAAGAGAAAGGAAGTAAAGTAAGACTAGGCAGGTATTTGGATGTGAGTGTATAAATCATTACACATTTGAAATTATCTGAAATTGTTAAGAGTGGCAGGTTGGGTCAAATTATTTTTAGATCCTCAAAGGGTTTGAGTCAGCCTTGAGGAGCGTAGGATGTATTTGAGAACTTACTTTTGCGCTCCTAATTTGATAATCGGGGTAAATTATTACAGTGAAAAGGGAAACAGAGAGCACAGTCAGAAGGTTTGTGTCAGTGTAACACACCTCCTTCATGAATATATCCCCAGCCCGTGATCCAACAGGCCGCTCCAGGAAGAAAGGACTCCCTCGGACTGGGTAAACAGACGGGTCGCACCCCTCCTGCAAACAACACATCAGATTGTAACATAATCTTAGATTGATAAGCTAAGTAATAAAGACATAAAGGTTATCACACGTATGATAGGAGACTGCATATGCTCATCTTTTTTCTGAGCCAGGTTCCTCTGCATACTAATAAAATGTTGGCCAGTTCTCTTGCTTTGCTTACAAGCATCTTACATTCATATAGAGGATTTTGTCTTTTTGTTTTTTAATTAGGCTTTTAGAAGTGTTATACATAGAGGTAGAAGAATCTGGTTTATTGACAATTAGGTTTTCACATACAGGGATTTGCTTTGGTGTATTTGGACATAACAAACATAATAAGAGAAAATGGAATTAAAAATAACAGCAAGTATTAAAACGATAACAAGAAACCTTGACAATAAAAAAACAATAAAAATATGAAACAATACTCTAAAAAATATTTACAATATATCTAAATTAAAATGAAAGAGCTGTGCAGTTT